TTCTACTTCAGAAACTGACCAAGGTGTGGATCACATATAGAAGTCTGCATGCATTTTATTAATTTTACGTGTACACACTACGGTTTTTAGGATAACACTATCTATGAGCACATACAATCTAATATCTAGCACCTTATCTCAAAAAACACTTACATTTTATATACATGTAGTTAGAGCTTACATTTAGGAGAAATACCACAAAAGGGAATACACCACTGAAACAAGACAAAAATACCAAACTTTTAACACTAAAGTTGTAACACAGATGAAGAGGGGGAAAATCCACTCAAACTTGAAGCACCAAACTAAAGCCAATCTTGTTTTTGTCTACATTTTATAACAAGACAGATAACAGTAATTAATCCTCAAACATAGTAAACCTTCTGTGAGTGTACAAGTTACTGTGGTTTCCCCCTGGTGTGTATACTCAGAGATATGAAGGCTTTGGGAGGCAGTGATGGAAACGCCTAACTCCTATTGGCAACCCTCGTTTACCTTGAGGATTCTTATCCTATCTAGCAAGGAGAAGTGAACTTGCCAGTGATGTGGCAGCCAGTGGCTAAGTTCAGTGGATTTTAGCTTTCCTATTTCTTCCGCTATCCAGCTCTGTTGCAGAAGAGTGCTGTAAACAAGCTGGGCATTTGCCATTGAAGAAGATACTGTATGTAATTGGAAAGAATTTATGGCAAAAGTTTCTCTTCTTTTGAATTTTTTAGGCTATGGTCACCGTTTCTAGATCATGCTTCTGTGGCCTCATTGCTAAGCTTGGAGGGGCCAAGAGCACCAGTCTAGCCCGTACAAAGTGAGAGAGCGAGCGAGAGAGAGAGAGAGAGAGAGAGAAAAGGAGGGAGATGATTAAAAGCCTTGACTGACCAGAGTTTCTCTCCTTATCTTGGCACCTGGCTAGCAGCCAACTGTTCCTTTAATTCTTTGTCTGCTCTAGAAGGAAAAAAACGTTTTGCTTAAAGAAACCTCTCCTGACAGTATGGGGTTTGTGTTATCAGAAAAGACAATATGAGTTTGATTTTTTTTTCTCAAAATATGAAAAAGGGCAGCTATGAGAGAAAAATAAAATCTGGTAGGTTAAATTGTTACTATTTGTTTCATCCCCAACAACCCTAAGGTTGTTTAGTGAGTTCACATTACCAGAGGATGCATAATTTTTTCTCCTCCAAATGATGTCTTTCAAGATACTTTAAAGAGCTTTTTGGCAAAATTTAAGAAAGTAAGCCTAGTTTCATCATGTAAATTATTCTTCAGGTAGTATGAAAATTCTTCTGAAGTAACTTTGCCTAGCTTAATTGGCTAATTATGTAAAAAATAAGGTAATGTTAGGCACCTTGTAATTTTATAGGTAAAAGATTTTTTAGTGTTTTTTTCCTGAAATAATTGGACAGAATTGAATGTGCTCTCAAAATGTGTTGTATTGGGTTCTTTTTGGTAAGAAATGAGGTGCCTACTTTTTGTAAAGTAGGTGTCACAAAATGACACCTTTCCTTACCTGTTGAATTTGCAGTATGTATCCCATCATCTCTAAATTGAATTGGAGTTGGGGAGGAGACAGAAAAATACCTTCAGTTGCTGGTCACTCCTAGGGTTCACTTCTCTCCTGTTACTTCCATGGGCCCTAGGTCCCTGTGAATCTGTCAGTTCTGGATTTGGAATAGGTGGATGGTGAGTGGGTAAGCTTCAAGCAAGGGGTATTTCTGAAGGGCCAGCACAGCTGGGGGAAGGGAAATGAGGCAGGTAAAGGCAGTGGACAAGATGGCAAGAGGTAGGCAGGGAGCTGACAGTGCAGAGGACTTGCCAGCAGCTGGTATTTGTGGTGTCGTAGAGAAGGGCCCTCGAATCACAGAAGTCACAGAAGCCCAGGGCTTGCTCCTTATTACTGCCTTCCCAAGCTTGTTGGAATTGGTGTGTTAATCAAAGCACCTGTGACTTCTTGGCAAACTAGATGCTCTATTTTTCTTAAATAAGGAAATCATTAAAGTTAAAATCACATCATTTCAAAGTGTGGCTTGTCTGGCCCCCGTAATTTAATGGGATTTTTTTTTTACTGCACATATGAAGTGGCCTTGGCAAAAGAATACATCCTTTAAAAATATTTAGGGAAAGCCTTGCACATGAGGATCTGTGAGGCTAATGATGACTTTTTTGTGTGCTTTCAGATTTTTCAAATAGCAAAACAGTATGTGCAGTAGAACCTCATTAAGATGATAGTGCTTTATTCAAAATAGCACAAAAATTTGAAGTGGTTGCTATCTCCAAGCTAACCAGAGGCCCTATTGTTCATTAAGAGAAAATGTCATCAAAACAGAAAGTCCTTAATTCAAAGGTCCTCTTTTCCACTCTTTTAATTTCAAAAGGTCTTCCACCTTTGAAGAATCCAACTTGCCAAAAGAATGGACAGTGACTAAATTAGGGAAAGGGGAACTTTGAGAGAACCGGTGAGTCTCAGCACCAGGGAGGATGTTATGTGTGCGGTCAAATGAACTTACCACACTGGTACAGGTTCTGGTTCCATTTTGATTTGGGATTTTGGCAAACAACTTTCTCTGATACACTTTGAAGGGGTTGAGCTTTAAAAATAAAACAAGAAGTTCAGTTTCAACAAGACATTGGAGACACTTATATTCGAAATCCTATTTCCTATCCAGAAAAAAAAGCATTTCTACTTCTAGGACTGGCTACAGCCACCTTCAACTCCTCCATAGAACTGCAAGGCAACACCCTCTCTCCACAAGTGGATTGATCACAGAAGCCATTTCTTCACTCATATGTCCTTTAAGGACAGCTCAATACGTGAGTTTGGCAATAAGTCCGTATAATAATTTATGACTATTAATTTGCTTCCTAAATTTTTGGTAGAAAAATAAATGACAATGTCAGGGTGAACTTCAGCCCCCATGCCTTGTCTGAACTACCACAAGTTCCAAATTAATGGAGCTGAAATTAATAAGGGTTTCATGAACATATTGATCGGACAGATCAGTTCAATATTATGTAGTTCTATGCCCTCTCCTTTCCTACATCCTGAACGTGGTAATCCCAAATTCCCGTGCAGACTTTATTCACAGCTGTTGGAATCTGTGAGGAGGAAGAGATAAAAGAAAATATAAATGAGCCGGGCATTTATAGAAATGAAAATTTGAGCTCCAATAAAGACATAGCAACCACACAAGTATGAGGCTACAGTCTGAATACGGCTATCTTTAGGTACAAGCATCTGATTAGCTGTTTTTCAACCAATGCTCCCTTTTCCCCCCACCCCTATTAGTAATGAGTTTCTGCACAAACAGTTGACTCTAGAGTTGTTTCCACTTGGTCTTCAGGAGGATTAAAAACACTGGTTTAGCAATTTTTGGGTGTTCCGTGTTATTTTGTCTTTAGATATGCCCCCATGCTTTCTGAAATGTATGGGTATATCCTTGCCCAAAATGATTTTAGCGTTTGGGAGTTGAAAATCTCCCTGTGTATTTCCACAATAATTATTAGGATATGTCTGACTTGAATGCTTTGATTTTGGGGTTGTTTGGTTTGGTCAGATGTTTGCCAGGTATTGTTAGACCATCCTCTCTGTCATTTCTGACTCTCTTACATTCTCTCCTGCATCTGCAGAGAGCTTAAAAGCTTTAGAGAGAGAGCCACTGGTTGAAAAGATACGAGTGAACCTGGAGGAAGGAAAATGTTCATCCTGACTTACTTGTTCCCCAGGTAGAGAACGTTTTTTTGTCTATTAGGTTACACACACAAAACAGATTTCTGAGGGGCATATCACTCTTTTTTTTTCCTGTGGCACTGTGGATTGAACCCAGGACCTCACAGAGCAAGCTTGTTTTTCTTTTGTTTTTGAGATAGTCTCACGCTAACTTTCCCCAAGCTGCCCTCAAACTTGAGATCCTCCTTCCTCTACTTCCCAAGTAGCTGGGATTACGGATGTGCACCACCATGCCCTGCAGCATATCTCTCTTGATTGGCAGTGTGAATTTTGTCGAACTTTGGCCACTCCTAGTTGAATTTCTTTTTTTCTGGAAATGCTGTTTGACCAAAAGTCTATTTGAAATAAAACAAAGCAAAAACATAAATGATCAGCAGGATCTAGAAAATTCTTATGAGCATCCCAATTCAGTCACAAAGGGGAAATTGTAAAACAGCGGCGTGATATCTGTCCCTGTATTATTCAAATAGGAGACAGAAAATATGTTAGTGTCAATTGATTATTTTCCATTTGCACCAAGTGAGGTCAGTACTAACCTCTGCATAAACCCCAGATTTTAGAGAAAGCCCCCCCCCACAACCATTTAGCCCAGTGGCTGTGTGGTATTTCTCCTTTGCTTCCCTTGGACTAGCTTCCCACTTCATAATGCCCTCCCACTTCTCTGGACCCCTTGAGAGGATCTAGAAGCTGTCTTGGTATTCTGACTGCATGGCCCCCTATGTCTTAGTTTGTATGATAGTCTTTGCACCGGATTGTGGGGCTCTTCAGTCCAGAATTTGGCCCAGACATTGATCAATCCACAGGGTTCTGCTTCTGCCTCTTGAGCTCCAAAAATGATCTGGTCCATTGTTTTTCTTTCACTTCAACTAGGCTTGGCCCTTGAACTCCTGACTCTAAGGCCCCACAGTCCTTAAGTTTACAGGCATCATCTTTGCTTTCCCTTCAGAGTTAAAGCTGCCATTTTGCAGCTCACGGGAGACAGGCAGAATACCAAATACAGGACAGCCCTTGTGAAATTTAGAGCCTAATAATTTTGTGGGGGCAAATTTCAGTCAGAATCCTCAAGTCCTTGCTTCGAGGGGCACACCTTCAGGGGAAGATCCCAGTTCCTACTTTTGCCATGGGTTCATTTATCTTGTGGTGGAAAACGATGTGTGTGTGCAACACCTTTGCCTGAAATGGTATGGATTGGCATTAATGAGATTGTGGGTGGTGCACTGAAAAGAAAGCTGCTCTTGTTTTCTGTCTTGTGGACAGTTCAAGGTTTGCCTTAGAACTGACTTCAAGGTGAAGTAGCAGAATCATGGGAGGGGACGATGTTGCCTTCAGTTCCCCCATCTGTGCCAGCTTCGGTTCCAGGTAGATCGGGGTGGCTGTCTTCCGTGGGGGGCTTTTCCTTGCAGAAGAGCTTCTTCAGCATATCCTGGATTTCCTTCTTGATGGTCTTGTGCATGTAGCCATAGATGTAGGGGTGGATGCAGCACTGCAGGAAGAAAAGCCAGATTATTATGGTGATCACCCACTGGGGTACCTGGGTTTGGACATCCACCCACACGGCCAGGACTGCTAGAAAGCAGTAGGGCCCCAGAGACAGCACGTAGGAAAAAATGATGAGGAAGATGACTCTTGCAGCTTTGCACTCATAGCACCTGGGCAGAGGAGGGTTGCTGTTGCTGTTTCGACGACTGGGTGGGAGGCTCTCTGGAATGTTCACTGCCTCAACATCATCCTCACCACCGAAATGGATGTCATCCTCAGCAAACTCTATGTCGTCTTCACCCAAATCAATGTTGCATTGATTGACCTCGATGCAACAGGTATTTGGCTTCATGCTGCTCTCCTCAACTTCAGGGCTGCTTTCCCTACCTTCCATGCTACTACCATCACTGACCTCCCGGCTGCCCTTGGTCTCCAGGATACCCTCGCTGATATCCATACTTCCTGCTTTGGTCTTCATGCTGCCATTCGTGGCTTCCATGGGATATTCTTCAGCCTCCATGCTGCCCTCCTTGGCCTTGACCTCGCCTTCATTCTGGATCTCGTTCTCATCCTGGAACTCATCCTTCTTCTTTCCTCGTTCACTCTCATTCTTCACACAGTCCTTCACCCTCACCCCCAGGCTGTGACTCTTAACGTTGTACAGCAAAGCATGCTGCCGCCGGGCTGCACCAAACACCACCGAGTAGCAGGCAATCATGACAACCAGGGGAATGACGATAAAGGACACCACGCTGAGAATGGTGTAGCTGGGGCTGGCTCCCCAGATCATGGAGCAGAGGGCATTGCGCTCATCAAAGGCAGCCTGGCCCCAGCCATAGAGTGGGGGTGTGCTCTGCAAGATGGCCACAATCCAGGTGCCATACAGGAGCATGTAACCGCGGCGGTGGGTCATCTTGGACGGGTAGGAGAGGGGGTGAATGATGGACAGATAGCGATCTATGGACACCACGACAATGGTATTGACACTGGCAAAGGCGAACAGGTGGGTGAGGCTAACCAGGGCTGTGCAGAAGTGGCTGTTGAGGGGCCAAAAGAGAGGCATGGAGGTGGCCACCACCCAGGGGGCCACAAGAGAAATCTGCAGCAGGTCGGTGACGAGGAGGTTAAAGATGAAGCGGTTGGTCACCTGCAGCAACTGCGGCTTGCGCTGCAACACGAGCGCCAGCACTATGTTGCCAACGAAGGAGATGGTGAGGAAGATGAGCAGCACGACCGAACGGATGATGCCATGAGCCAGGCTGATGGGCATCTTGGAGAGGGGCATGCACGTCTGGCTGCTGTTGCTCTCGCGCGTGCTGTTGGTGCAGGTAGATGTCATGGCGATGGCGGGCGGGCGTGAGACAGGGTGCAGGCTCAGTGCGGGCACCGGTGGGCAGTGAAGGGGTGCACAGACTGCACACGGTGCCTATACTGCGGACGAAAGACACAGGCGGGCGGGTTAGTCTCTTGCCAGGAAGAGAAGCCTCCGCACCTAGCAGTGTCGCCGCAGGACCCCTCCCTTTGACCCCCGCCTGGTCATAGCCCCAGTCAGGGCAACTTCTGTCGCTCCTTTTCTGACTCTCGGGGGATCTCTCTGCCTATCTCTCTCGGGCTTTCTGATTTTCTCTAGTCTGTCTGTCCTGCCAGCGCGCGCGCGCGCTCTGTGTCTCACACTGTCCTCTGGGTCTCGGAGTTTGGGTCCCCTCGGGGCAGCTCTCGTGCTGGCGCATGCGCGTGCACTCTCAGTACCTGCCTGTTTACCACTGTAGATTTCTGTTTCCCGTGTATCGCTAGCGCACCTTTCCTTGGGTCTCTTGGAGTGTACGTGTCTCTCTGTCTCCTCTGGTGAGGAGCATCTCGTCGTTCTCGCTATGTTGTCTGTTTCTCACTAGCACGTGCATAGTCTGCCAGTCTCTCTCTGGCTGTTCCTCTCGTGTCTCCCTCCCACTCTGAGTTTCTCTGTCTCTCAATCTCTGTGTGTCTTTTTCACTTGCGCACTGTGTGCGAGCCCCTCCTCCCCTGTCTTTCTCCCAGTCTCATTCCTGTCTCTGTGTCTCTGCCTGCCACCATCTCGCCATCTCTACCGTTTGCCAGTGCGCGCGCTCCCCCCGCCACGCCCCCCCGCACTACTGTCTCATCTCTCCATTCATCTCTCAGTGGACTTCTCTGTAAGTCTATCTCGTTGGGCACCTAACACACCTGTCCAGTATCACTGCTTGTATGTGTGTCTCTGCCTGGCTCTATGTCTGTCCAACTCTCTTGTTCCGGTGTCTCTCTTGGGTTCTGTCTCTAAGTGTCTCCTGTCTCCCAGTGACACGTGTGCTCTTGTCCCCTGGTCTCTGTGTCTCTCCCTGCCTCCCCTCGCTATTTGTCTCTCTGTGTCTAAGTTCTCTCTGTATTCGCCAGTCTCTCTCCCTTGGTCTCTAACACTCCACTGCCTGCCTCACCCGTCTCTGTCTGTCTCACCTGTCTCTGTCTGTCTCTCTCTAGAGTCTATAGTTGATTGATCTCTCCCTCCCGCCACTCTGGGACTCTCACTAAACTCTCTCTTGGTATCTTTGAGTGTGTGCGCATCTCTGTCTCTCTCCATCTTTCTCCGATGGCCCCTCACCTCGGTTTTCCTCTGGCTGGATCTGTCTCTTTGGATCTCTGTCTCTCGGTAGACTTAATTTTACCATGGAAACCAGTTGCCGCCGTAATCACGGCGGCCTTTGGCGGAAAAAAAAACACTTAGTTTCTCGGCAGTGCAGTGGGCAGCTGGAAAATGCCAGGAGGATACCTAGTGCACTCCCCCACCCCTCAAATTCGCCATCCTCCCCACATTCTGCAGGCCGCCTGGTGTCAGCGGCGGCGGGGGCGATGGGGGGACTGAGGAGAGTGGAGAACAGGAGACGAGCCAGGGGTGCGGGCGGCGGGAGAGTCTGAAAGAGACAGAGCGAGACCGATGGAGAGGCAGAGAGAGAAAGAGACTGAGAGACCTAGAAATAACGAGAGACATGCAGAGAAAGTGAGAGGCAGAGAAGGAGAGAGATAAGAGTCCAGAAAGAACAAATGAGAGCGCGAGAGTGAGATAGAAAAAAGGTAACAGGAGAGACAGAGGACAAGAGACGGTGCAAGATTGAGAGACGTAGAGAGAAAAAGCAAAAAAGAACAAAAAAAGAGGATGAGAAGTAAGGAAAGAGAGAAAGGACGAGGGAAAACGAGAGAATTGAGAGCGAGGGAGAAGAACGCACCAGAGAAAGTGCGAGGGAAAACGCGCGCGCGGGGGACAGGACCACCGAGGCAAGACAGAGGGGCCGCAGCGGGGGCCACTGCGCGCTGTAGCTCAGCCGCCGTCCGGCTGCAGCAGACGGAGCTTCCGGGACACCGGGGCTCGGGGGCTGGCAGGGCGCGGGGGACGGCGGGCCCGGGGCACAGTCCGGCAGCTTACCTGTTGCTTCGGGAAGCGTCGCGCTGCGGGAGCTGCGGGTCGGTCCCTCGGGGCTCGCCGCGCTCGTCTGGTCACCTCTCGGAGCGCAGGCGGCTGCGAGCTCGCACCGGGCTGCAGGAGCTGCGGGCGCGGCGGGCGCGGGGCACTGAGCCTGTGCCCGCACGTCCGGCCTGCGCGCCGCGCTGCGAGCTCTGAGCGGCGGCGGCGGGGGCGCGCGGCGTCTTAAGGCAGCGCGGTGCCCTCACCTTGCGGCGCCCCCCTCCCTTCGGTCCCCGCCCGCGCCGGTGACGCACGAGGCCACGGAGCCCAGAGGAGCTGGACCGGCGCGCGCGGGGTGGGTGGGGGGGCACGCTGCAATGGACCCCAGACAGGTTTTCGCTTGCTGCGTCCCATCCCAGACGCCCCCAACTCCCAGACCCGGGCTGGCACAAGGGCTGACGTTCGTTCTTGCAAACCCTTTCCTCTTAGGCCCCCAGATTTTGGGCCAGGATCTAACCACAGATCTGCACAGTCTTTCCAAAGAGATGGTCTGGGACTCTGGCCTTGACCTCTGAAAAGCCCCTAAAATACGAACTGTCCTTGGGTCTGAGAGAGGAATTGTGACTTTGATGTCAACGATTTTTCATGAATTTTTCTAGCTCCCAGGAAACGCTAAACAGCAGCATCTTTCCGGTAGAGTTTTGGAAGCATTTCATGTCATATAAAGCGCTTAGTTATATTTGATTGAAGTCTGTCTGTAAGTCAGTCAGCCTTCTCCTCTCTCTCTCTCTCTCTCTCTCTCACACACACACACACACACACACAGTGTTAAGCTGTTTTCATAGAGGATACAGAGAAATCGTTACCCTGGCCATGTGTGATAAGTATTGATATCATTTTCATTTTATAGAGACAGAAGCAGAAGCCAGGAGAGATTCCCCTACTTACCTAAGTTCAAGTGCATGACGCACCTATTCTACTCACTAAAACATTCTGGTCTCCCACAAACACACTGTGTGTCTGGCATATTTCAGGCTTGAGAAGGCACCACCAGAGCGCGAGGCACCCTCCCCCACCCCACCTGCTCAGGATAGGGGAGGGTCTGGGAAGGTGTCTCAGGTCAGGGATCATTTGCATTGAGTTTCCAGGAGATGAGGAAGCATTTTTTAAGCAGGAGAGAAGGAAGGATGCTCTGTATTATGGAGGAGCGTGGACATAGATGGGGCTGCAGGAGACAGCTGCAAGCCGAGGTCAGGAAACAGGCTGTACAATGGTGTGCTACCGGCAGATCCAGAGGCATCTTCCATGCCAAACTGGGGATCTTGGACTTTATCCTGAGATCTCTGGAGGGATGTTGAAGATGTGTTTTATTATGAACAATTTAAAATATCACAAATATAATGAGAACATTTAAGTAAACCCTCATGTTCCCACCACTCAACCTGAGCAACGACAAGTATTTTGCTATTCTTGACATTGATGATGTTGAAGTAAGGAAATGTAATGAGTTTTGTGTTTTTCTAGGCCTCCTAAGCAGGGCTGGGGTGGGGACAGGTGGGGTGTAGATGGAGAAAGAGCAGAAGGGAAGCTATAGAAGGAAACACAAAGAGGGCTTCAACAGACTGCACAGAGGCCTAGCAGAGTCCTAAGGACAGATGGAATTGACAGTGGAGGGGAATAAGGACCAGGAGATGCTGGGGTAGTATAGGATGAGCACAGGATTCTGCGGAGGTTCATGGGATGGATGGAGACGCCCCTCCCCTTTCCATTGCCTGCTTCTGGGACAGAGAGATGAGGCAGGTGTATATAATCAGGCCCTAGGATGCTCTTTGGATTTCGAGTCTTGCATTTGCTCTCAGATCATTTGTCTTTTTTCTGCTAGGCCTGATTTTATCTTCCCAAGGTTGAATGGTAAAACCTGGTCGTTTTTCCTGGAGACAGTTTCCATGATAATCACTCACAGTTATTAATTCCCAGCCTTATGCTGGCCATGCTGCAGAATCCTGGGTGGCATGCACTATCAAGCAGCAGTTGGTTCAGACTCGATTATTTTGTAATAACTTGGGAGGCAGTCGAGCTGCTAGGAGAGGCCAGAAACAAAGTCCAGTCATTCCTGACCTTTCCTATTTTTCACTGGGGTTCTGAGAGTGCCTTGCACTGTTGGGATCCAGTAGGGGACAGACAGGAAGAAAAGCTCTCAGGTATGTGTCAAAGGTGGGTGCCTCACAAGGACCAGTTCATGGAGTCTGCAGCTGTGCTCCTGGGCATTATAGGAGACGATGGGGAGTGGAGAGCCTGGGTGCATGAGGCCTCTGCAAAGGAGGCCAGGCTACCTTGCCTGCACGAGACAGGAAGAAAGCCAAGGAAGTGCTAGGAAAGAAATGCCAGTCACTTTTCTCTACAGGTATCTCCTTCCTCTTTCCCTCCAGACTTGAGCAGTGTCAGTGTCCTTGAAATTCAAAGTCAGCTAAGTATCAGTTCCCCAAGTGGGGGCATTGGGAAAGTGAATTTGACCTCTAGCTCTGTCAGCTCTGATGTTGCTGGCTTGGAAGAGCCCTTCAACTGGCAAGCTTCATTAGATTCTGGGGAATTCTTTGGGATGATGGCTCAAGAAGTCACAGAGCCCATTTCGGTACCTTCATAATTCAGTAGCAGCAGAGGTAAGATTGGGCTAGTGGTATTTATGGGCCAGGACTGAAAGGAAAAATGCCACTAACAACAGCCCTAAGGGCCGAGCACAATCATAAGTTGCAACACCAATGAGCAGCATGCCAGCCTCCTTGTTCCCTCCTTCAGTAAGCCAGACTTGTTTACCTCGTCAGACCAGCAGCCTCAACTGATGTACTATAAGCCAGAGAATAGAAGTTGGAAGGCTCAGATGGGTATCGATTCTAATAGTAATAGTTGCAGTAGGTCCTTGAGTTCCTACT